ACAGAAAAGAGACAGAGCAGAGACAGGAGCGGGGAGAGAGAGAGACAGAGAGGGAGTAAGAGAGGAGACAAATACAGAGAGAGACAGAGAAGGGACAGAGATAGGAGGGGGGAGAGACAGAGAGAGAGAGGAGACAGAGAGACAGAGAGAGAGAGAGAGAGAGAGCAGGGCTATGTGAGAGCCTGAGGAGGCGTCTGCTGCGGCAGGGGGTGTAGGCTTTTCCTTTAGGCTCCTGGATAGGTGACGCGGTGTCTGGGCTTGGTGGCAGAAGGCACCTCCACGCACTCAGCATAGCAGCCCCCCAGGGAGGGTCTCTAAGCTGGACACTGTCCTGGTGGGAGTGCGTCACGGACTTCTGGGGGAAGTGTTCTGGACCAGCTATTTGGCCAAAGCGAATGTGGACGGATCACCCTGGGGGAGAACCCTGCTGGGAAGATGGAGCTGGCGCCGGCTGGGGACCCGGCCTGCCCGTGCAACGGGGCTGACGCGGACTTAGGGCATCTTGTCCTCTCTTTTCCATTCAGGTTGTTGTGGTCAGGGTGGATGCTGCTCTCTGGGGTTTCTGGCTGCTTCACTATCATGTCTTACAGACCTTTCTCTTGAGTTCCTCAAATTCATGCTTTCTTATGGCCCAATAATGGCAGGTAACAAGCATTTATTAAGTGCTTACTGTATGCCAGGCACTGCACTAAGTGCTAGGAATACAAAGACAAGCAGAAGGAAAGGCAGCCCCTGCCCACTGAGAGCTTCCATTCTACTGGGGGAAGACAGCGAGACCAGAATGCACTTTAGCCCTCCTGGGCCCCTCTCCAAAAGGGAGGCCGGAGGAGGGACTCACCCATGGGGGATGCTTGAGGCCGGCGGAGGCTGCAGCCTGAAGCCCAACCCAGGATGGAGGAGGAAGGTGGGTTTCTCCCTGTTGGTTCAGCTGCTCCCGAATGGGTGGGTGCCCACTGCAGAGGGTGATGCTGTGACAGTGTTGGTCACCATGGGAGACCAGGTTTTAGGGTGCGGTCAGCCACTCTCTGGTGGCCCCAGACCATGGTGCCATGGCAGGGCACCTTTCCATCTGCACTGTTGGCACACCAGAGCACCATCCCCTTCCCACCTCTTGCTGACCATTGCCATAGGAAAGGGGAAGGCGACCGACTGTCTGATGGCACTACCCCTAATCCCTGTGAATGCTCCCATGTGTCTCCTCCCATTAGAATGCAGGTTCCTTGGGGGTAGGGGCCACCCAACATCTGTATTTGTATTTCCAGGGCCTGGCACACAGCAGGTGCTTCAGAAATGCTCACTGATCATCTGTAGGGTCCGTGCCCAAGAATGAGATCCAAGGGTAGGGACAACAACTCACATTTCTGGCAGGTTCCAGGTTGTTTTTCTGGATAGATGAACCAATCCACAGCTCCACCAAGAGTGTATTATCGTACTGCCTTCCCACGGCCCCTCTGACATGGACTTTTTCCAGCGTTTACCATGATCTTTGCCAATTTTCTGGGTGTTAGGCCAGATCCCAGAATTACTTCGATTCACCTTTCTAAAATTATTGTTCGTGTTAGGGGATATTTCCCCAGATAGCTGCCGAGAATTTGCTTTTTTTTTTTTAAACTATTTGTTCCTATTCTCTCTTGGGAATGATGGGTCTCCACCTAATTTATTGATTTGCGTCAACTCTCGGCACAGAGACAATTGATGGAAAGAAAGCCTTCTTGTCCCTCGAGGGCTGCATGATGTCTGTGGATGTCTCCTTTGTGTTTGGGACCCCCAGCTCCAGATCTTTTTTAGGCAATTGGGGTTAAGTGACTTGCCCAGGGTCACACAGCTAGTAAGTGTCAAGTGTTTTGTCCGAGGCCGGATTTGAACTCAGGTCCTCTTGACTTCAGGGCCAGTGCTCTATCCACTGCCCCCCCCCCCCAACTCCAGATCTTAAACCAACTTTCTTCTTTTTTCTTCTAATTTTTTGAAGACAGTGAAAGACAGCCTCTTTCTACATGCCGGTCACTTGTGTGAGATGCCGACCTGGACCTAGTGTGTGTCCCCTTCCCCATCATGGAGGCTGTTGTGATTGGGTGGTCTCATAGGTTCCCCTGATCTCCATTTTGGGGATTTCAGCTTTCTTTTATTCTGTAGTTCAGGATCTGGCCGTGCGGGGCTCCATGCATTCCTACTGGTTTTTCTTTTTCGTTTCCCTAGAAGTTCTTTACTTCTCCTTCCTCCCAGTGAAGGTCATTATTTTTTTAAGCGGTCCTTGGGTTGTTTGGTTGCTACAGCACTCGATTCATGGGTAAATGTTGGTAGTGTTATTATTCTCACCACACGGGCTGGCCCAGCCATGAACACAAATGGTAAGCCTTCTTTTATTTCTGTAAAGGCTGTTTTGTAGTTGTATTTATGTGAATCCTGAGTGTGCCTTGGGAGGTTAGCACAGCTCTGATAATCGACACCTTTCCATTAATTTGAGCAATTAGAATCCTTAAGCCCGTCCCAGTGCAGCTCTGGTGGGGACTGCCCCAGCCTGGGAGCAGTGATATTCTGGAAGAGCCGTGCCCCCAGTGCTCTGGAGCCCTGGCCCAGGGAGCATCCACAGAGCACTGGCTTCAACCCACATCTACAGCTGGTGCCCCTGCATGGTCCACAGACAGGGTCCTCCTCTGGGCTTAAAAACCCCCTTATCAAAGCCCTTTGACCCAGCAATAGCAGTTCTAGGGCTGTATCCCAGAGAGATCATACAGATGGGAAAAGGACCCACATGTACTAAAACATTTATAGCAGCTCTTTCTGTGGTGGCAAAGAATTGGAAATTGAGGGGATGCCCATCAACTGGGGAGTGGCTGAACAAGTTGTGGTATATGAATGTGATAGAATACTATTGTGCTATAAGAAATGATGAGCAGGCAGACTTCAGAAAAACCTGGAAAGACTTGTATGGTCTGATGCTGAGTGAAGTGAGCAGAACCAGGAGAACATTGTCCACAGTAACAGCAACAACGTGCGATGACTAAAACTTAGCCCTTCCCAGAAATACAAGGATCTAAGACATCTCCAAAGGCCTCATGATGGAAAATGCTACCCACAAAGAAGAAAGAACTATGGAGTCTGAATGCAGATCAAAGCATACTATTTGCCTTTTTTTTTTCTTGTTATGTTTTGTCTCCTCTTTCTGGTGGTTCCTCCTATTGGTTCTAATTCTTACTAACAACATTATGAATGTGAAAATATGTTTAATAGGAATGTATATGTATAATCTACATCAGATTGCACGCCGTTGTGGGGAGGGAAGTGGGGAGGGAGGGGGAGAAAAATTGAAAACTCAAAAACTTATGGAAGTGATTGTTGATAATTCAAAATAAATTAATGTGAGTAGATGGATAAAACAAAAAAAGGAGATATCTGCTCTGCTTCTCCTCTGTTTTACACCAGGATAAGTTCAAACAGTCATTTATTATGCATTATAGAATATCAGTCAATAAACATTTATTTAGGACGTAAAAAAAAAACCCTTATCAGCAGGCTATAAATAGTCCATGGTTAATTAGGGGTTGGAAGCAGTACAAGGCAGTGGGAGGAAGGGAAGGGGTAACCATTTATTAAGCACCTGCTGTGTGCCAGGCACTGTGTTAAGCATTTTATAAGGATTATCTCGTGTGATCTGCACAACAGCCTTGGGAGGCAAGTATTACGAGCCCCATTTTACAGAGGAAGGTGAAGTGACTTGCCCAGGGTCACAAAGCTAGGAAGTGTCTGAGGCTGGATTTGAACTCAGGTCTTCCTGACTGCAGGCCTGGTGCTCTGGGCAAGTCGCAGTCCCATCTGTTCCTCAGTTTCCTCACTTACAGAAGGAGAGTTTGGAGAAGAGTTCTGATTCTCTGTCTCCTGACACATCTCCTTTCTAGAGTCGCAGCTGTTTGTGACCACAATGAATCAAGATGTAAGCCACGCTGACTCCTCTTCAGAGAGAAGCCCCAAGGAGTGTGCAAATGCCCAGGAGGTGTCTTTTGTGGAGGTATGAAGCATGGCAGTGTGTGGATGCAGGACCCGTCTGGGCTATATCTGGACAAATTTGAGGTGAATTTGGTTAAGACGACATGCCACAGATGGCAGCCAATGGGAGGAGGCCCAGAAATGAGACAGAGAGCTGACCCTGGGAGTGTGGTAAGATACCACCCCCCTTCACATCTTCCACCCTCTCGGGGGCCAGGGCTTTCGTGTCTCCTGAGCTCGAGTCCAGCCTCACTAATGTCCCACTGGACATCTCCAACTGGAGAGCGGCATGTCTGAAACTGAGCTCATTCTCTGTCCTCCCAGTGACCCATCCCCTACCTCACCCCTTCTGTCTTTTGGGTCTCCTCTGCACTCATATCGTGGTCACCCTGGACAATCCATCCTCCACACTGCTGCCAAGGTGTCTGACCGGGCCATTCCTCTGAAGCTTCTCTTTTTAAAGCAGGGGCTTGATCAAAGAACCACAGCCACAGAAGAGCCCTCCACAGTTACCTGGTCCCACCCACACGTCTCCGTGGCCACCAGGCCTTTCCTGTTCCGCTCTGGCTTAGCTCTCGCACCCCGGGGCCCCTCACTGGCCTCTGGGGTTCCTGTCCCTACTGTGTCTCTTCTTCTCCGGGCCCTTCCCCCCTGCCCGGTCACCCTCTTCTGGATGCTCTCCAGCCTTCCTAAGGGAGGTGCCCAGAACTGACCAGAGGATTCAGGTGAGGCCTGGCCAGGGCAGAGAGCAGAGGGACAGTCACTGCTCTATTCTTGAATGCTGGGACTTTCCTAACATGACCCAGGGTTGTGAAAGGTTTTGGTTGGATGGTTTGCAGGTGGGGTTTCATTTGCAGTCCCCTGAAACCTTCCCATCTGCCGTGTGATGGTGCCTCCCTCCCTGACCATCAGGCCATCGAGCCTGACCCTCCATCCTCCTCGGGGTTAGGACTCCCCCCCCCTCCCCGGGGCCTCCTGGCTTCCCTCAGGGGAGTCTGAGGCACTGGGTTCCAGTGGCGTCTTCGGGCCCCAGCTCCCTGTGTCCCACTGCAGACCCCACTCAGCCTGTGCTGACATTGAACAATTAATGGCTCCTCTTTGAGCCCAGCCATTCACCAAGCCCTGAGTGGATTTAGCAGCATCACCTCATCCAGCTTGCAGGGGTGAGCTTTGTGTCCTTGGGTCCTTCCTTGGATTCTGTCTCCTGCGAATTACCGCGTGTCCCAGATCCCAACCTCGGAGACATTTTACGGAGAAGAAAACTCAGACCCAGGGAGTGAAGGGATCTGCCCAAGGCCCTACAGCCAGGATTCGATTCCATGGCCCTAGGCTGCCCCTCCCCCAGTACATGATGGATTTGCACAAAACTTCTCAAGAAGGTGTCTGTGTCACTTCTGTTTTAGACCTTAGCGAAGGATGATCTTGATGCTGCTGTCAAGGGCATGCTGTGCAGAGAAAACTACATCATAAAGGTGAGTGACACCATGGTGGCCAGCCTGGGAATGGGCCCCCCACTCTGGTTGGCTTGTCCGCACCCACAAGTGCTCTGGAACTATCCTATGATTGTACGTTGTTAAGCATGTGGTTTGGGGATAGGAAGCTGGCGTTGGAGACAGGAAGGCATCCTGGCTGGGTTACCCTGGATCAGTCTCATGATTTTTTTGCCTTCTGGGCAGCTCGCCAAGACACCGAGTTTCAAAGGAAGCCTTTACCTTTGGCCAGCTATGTGCCGTTGGACATAGCCTAACATTTTCTCTCCTTTAAAGTATTTGTAGTTGAGTCTTGTGAGATCTTGACTGTGATTCCTTGGTACTTACATTCTTTTTTTTCCTGGCTGCTTGCAGTATTTTTTTGACTTGTAAGTGCTAGATTTCATCTACATTTCCCGGGGTTTTCAGTTTGGCTTCCTTCCAGGAGGTGATCGATGGATTCCTTCTGCTTTCATCTTGTCCTCTTCTTCCGGTAGATCTGGGCAGTTTCCTTTGATGACTCCACGTTTTTTTGTTTGGTCATAGCTTGTTGCGTGCCGGTGGGTCCCCTAGCTGACGTAGTGCACTTAGTCAGCTATCCCACCCAAGCCTTCGCTTGCATACTCACCCCGCAGTCTTTGGACATCTCTGGCCCCCCCGTGGTGAGAGGGGAATGACTAGACAGAACACCCGAGTTGGCAGTTGCGTAGCTTTATTGATTACATTGCCTGCTAAACTAAACTTGCTCTGCTCGCTCCCTGCCCCAAGTCCTAACTCCCCACCCCCTCCTCCCTGCCCCTCAACTCCCCCGACCTCCTCCCCGCTACGCCCGTGCTCCTCCTCGGGTCCTCCTTCGTAGGTGGAGCTCCGTCCTGTTACAGAGGCCCTCCCAGTGCCCATTCGACGGTTGGTAAACGTCATGCGTCTCTGGGTAAGCCCAGGCGCTCCTGGGCAGGTAATAACCTCCAGGCGTCTCAACTAGCCTACTGGAGGCCAGAGGTCCAGAGCAGGGCCCTAACAATAGCTTTTGGAGAATTCCTTGATTCTGAATTTACCTTCCCTGTGGCTATTTCCCAGGTCTGTTGTTTTTGATACTACACACACCTCAAACTTCTGTTATTTCAATCTTTCGACTTTGTTCATTATTTCTTTTCACCTTTGGAATTACGAAAGGCTCACTGTTCTGTCCTACTTTTCAGGGAGTTCACTCCTGGGGAAGGTTTTCTACTTTCCAAGTAGCTCCTCACCAGTCCAACACAATAGTCTTACTATTGCACTGCTACATACTCCTCAACCCTTCCTGCCCACACCAAGCACAAGTAACACTTATTCTCCTTTGTATCAGTATAATTTTAATCATCCCCACATAAACTTCCATACAAACTAAATTTGCTTTAAATGATATCTTTTTCTTTCCCCATTCTTTTAACCTTTTCTTGCATTGCCCAGGTAACAATTAAGTTTAAGAATCTGATGCCAAAATGGCAGAGTAAAGGCAGGGACTCACCCAAGGTCTCCCAGATTCCCCTCCAAGCAATGTCTCAAATTGAATTACGGAGTGGTAGAACCAATAAAGAGTCAGGGTGAAACACTTTTACAGCCCTAGGCAACTTAGACGGTCAGCAGGAAAGGTCTGACTCGCTGGGGTGAGAGCAGAACACAGTCCGGCACAGGCAGTGACCCAGAAAGCCGGTAGCAGGCCTTGGGGGCATGTAACTGTCAGTCCACAGATGGTAAAGGGATCAGACAACTGGTCACAAGGAGATTGCAGGAGGCCCTTTGCTGGCACTAGGTGCCGGGCTCTATTGCATTGCCCATATGTGGTTCCAGATCAGAGTCCCAGGGTAAGGAGGAGTACTGGCAGGAGTGGGGGCCGTGATCACAGGTCCAGAACAGAAAAGAGTGCCTGTGGTCACTCGCAGACCAGAGCATGGGCCAGGAGAGAAGTGACCACATCTTTCCTTAGATTAGACTGCCTTGGAAGAACTGAAAACTTCAAGATCTCCAGAACTAGCTCTAAACACAGCAGCAGAAAAAACTTGATGCTTGGGATAATGCCTCCCAACCCCGCCCCCCCCAGGAGCAGAGCCCAAGTTTTAAAAATTAAGAAATGGGCTGGGAAAAGGAGTAAACAACAACAGTGAAAAGAATCTGAACACAGAAAGCTACTATGGTGACAGGGAAGATCAAGACACAAACTCAGAAGAAGGCAGTGAAATAAAAACAGCTATGTACAATGCCTCAAAGGAAAATGTGAATTGGACACAAGTCCAAAAAAAGAATTCCAGGAAGAGATCAAAAAGGATTTTTAAAATAAAATAAAAGAGGTAGAGGAAAACGTGGGAAAAGAAAGGAGAGTGATGCAAGAAAATTATGAACAGAGAGTCAACAGCTTGGTAAAAGAAGTACAAAATATACTAAAGGAAATAACACTTTAAAAAGCAGAATTGGCCAAATGGAAAAAAGAGGTACAAAAGCTCACTGAAGAAAACAATTCCTCAAAAATTAGAATTGGGCAAGTGGAAGCCAATGACTTCATGAGACATCAAGAAACAATAAAAATCAAAAGAATGAAAAATAGAAGGAAATGTGAAATATCTCATTGGAAAAACAACTGACCTGGAAAATACATCAAAGAGAGATAAAGAATTATTGGATTACCTGGAGGTCATGATTTAAAAAAAAAAAAGAGCTTAAACATCATATTTCAAGAAATTATCAAGGAAAACTGCTCTGGTATCCTAGAACTAAAGGGTAAAATAGAAATTGAAAGTAAGAGGTCCCAAAATTAAAAGCTAAATTCCAGAGCTCCTGGGTGAAGAAGAAAATACTGTAAGCAGCCAGAAAGAAACAATTCAAATATTGTGCAACCACAGCCAGGATCACACAAGATTTAGCAGCTTCTACATTAAAGGACTGGAGAACTTGGAATATGATATTCCAGAAGACAAAGGAGTTAGTATTACAACTAAGAATCACTTACCCAGGAAAACTGAATATAATCCTTCAGGAGGAAAATTGGATATTTAATGAATCAGAAGACTTTCAAGCATTCTTGGTGAAAAGACCAGAGCTGAATAGAAAATTTTACTTTCAAATACAAGACTTAAGAGAAAGTAATCGTAAGGAATTCTAAAAGGTTAAACTTTACATTCCTATATAAGATGATACCTGTAACTCATAATAACTTTAGCATTATTAGGGCAGCTAGAAAGAGTATACAGAGGGCATGGGTGTAGTTGACTATGGTGAAATGATTTAAAAAAAAATAAAAATTAAGGAGTGAGAAAGGGGAATGTACTGAGAAAAGGGGATTAAGAAATACAGAATGGGGAAAATTATGTCACATAAAAGAGGTGTGCAAGGAAGAGCTTTTACAATAGAGGGGGAAATGGGGGTGGTGGTGGGCAATGCTGGAACCTCACTCATTGGAAATGGTTGAAAGATGGAAGAACACATATACACACTCAGCTGTGTATAAAAATCTCTCTTACTCAATAGGGAAATAGGAAGAGGAAGGGATAAGATAAAGGGAGGGCACAATGCAAGGGAGGGCAGATAAAGGAAGGCAGTTGTTAGAAGCAAAACAGACTATTGAGGAGGGACAGAGTAAATAAAAAGAAAGAGATGATTAAACAGGGGCAAAATAGAATGGAGGGAAATCCACAGGAATCACAACTGTGAATATGAACGGGATGAACTCACCCATAAAATGGAAGATAGCAGAGTGGATCAGAAACCAGAATCCAACAATATGTTGTTTAGAAGAAACACGCTTGAAACAGAGAGAGACATACAGAATAAAAATAAAGGGCCAGAGCACAATTTTTATGCTTTAGCAGGAGTAAAAAAAAAAAAAAGCAGGGGGTAGCATCATGATCTCAGACAAAACAAAAGCAAAAATAGATCTAACTGAAAGAAATAAGCAGGGAAACTATATTATGCTAAAAGGTACCAGAGACAATGAAGTAGAATAAGTACTAAACATACATGCACCGAATGGCAAAGTATCTAAATTCTTAAAAGAAAAGTTAAATGAATTAGAGGAGGAAACAAACAGTAAATCTATTTTAGTGGAGGCTCTCAGTTTTTCCCTCTCAGAACTTGATAAATCTAAACAATAAAAATAAACAAGAAAGAAGTTAGGGATATGAATACAATTTTAGAAAAGTTAGATATAGACCCTAGAGAAAATTGAATGGTAATAGAAAGGAGTATGGGACAGCTAGATTGCCCAGTGGATAAAGTGCTTTGCCTGGAGTCAGGAAGATCTGAGTTCAAATCCAGCCTCAGACACTTACTAGCTGTGTGACCCTGGGCAAGTCATGTAACCTCTGTTTGCCTTATTACACTGAAGAAGGGAATGACAAACCACTTCAGTATCTTTGCCAAGAAAACCCCTTGGACTGTATGGTCCAGGGGGTCACAAACAGGACATGATCAAACAACAAAAAGAAAGGCCTATACCTTTTTCTCAGCTGTACATGGCACCTTCACAAAAATCAACCATGTATTAGTGCATAAAAACCTCACAACCAAATGCAGAAAATCAGATATATTAAATCCATCCTTTTCAGATCATAATACAATAAAATTACATTCAATGAAGGGTCATGGAAAGATAAATTAAAAATTAATTGGAAACTAAATAATCTAATCCTAAAGCATGAATGGGTCAAAGAATAAATCATAGAAATAATAATTTCATTAAAGAGAATAACAACAATGAGACAACATACCAAATTTATGGGATTGCAACTAGGGCAGTACTTAGGGGAAAATCTGCATCTTTACATGCTTACATCAATAAAATAGAGAAAGAGCAGATCACTAAACTGGGCATACAACTAAAAAAACTAGTAAAAGAACAAATTAAAAATCTCCAATTAAACACCAAATTGGAAATCCTGAAAATCAAAGGAGAGCTTAATAAAATTGAAAGTGAGAAACTATTGAACTAATAAATAAGACTAGGAGCTGGTTTTAGAAAAAAAAAAACCAAA